TACAGGCAATACAAGCACTGAACTGAAGGAGCTCACTAAAAGGCACATCTTTAAACACAACACCAGTTTCATTGTCTACCTGTGGGTACTGCATAGCCTCCATTGTGCTGTCAAAGGCTGAACGCAGTGACGCAAAACTTATTAACACATCCACCTCCTGGTGCTTCTTCATAGCATCAGCCATGTTCTTGTAGACTGGCAGCAGGATTTCTTTATGGCCCCAGTAGAATTTCTGTTTGTGATCCCCACTGGGCAACAAACACAGAGAAGTGTTGAACCCTACATGTTTAATAGAAGACAATGTTGGAAATACATACATTTATATGTTCCGGTACTAAATGTTAATGCTATAATCAATATCTGCACTCAACATTGCTGCCCAGTGTTTCACGATTAAATCAACACAAGCAACAAACGTCAGAGTCTCTAGAAAAAAACCCCTCTACCACTAATTTTGTTGTTCACCACATTAATAAGGCTCATCTGCTCCAGCTTTGTCATTCTCATCTGAATATGAATCCTAATAACCACCCCCCACTTCCCTGCTCGAAGTCAAGTAACCTACGTGAAGGGGTAAACCATAGCTGCCACTGAAGGTTCTTCCCGGGAGCACACGTAGTCGAAGTCCAACATGCCCTGCACAGCACGTGTCTGCATGCCCCACACAATGCTCTTGGTGTTTTGTCTGAAAAGCGTAGTGGCTTTGGCTAAAAGAAGAAAGACAGACACGAAGAAACACAGATACTCCAGTTAGTCATAACAGGAGGAAAAAACAAAATCAAAAGGCAAAAGGTCTGACTGGGGAAACACCAGGAATGGAGATAGTAACAGTTTGCCCAAAACCAGGTGAACTGTTTTATTTTCAAATTGCAAGCTCTATGCCATATGCCTGAAAACAATAGCTTATTACATACACTCACTACATAACCCATTCAATAATTATGTAGTGTTTGTATGTAGTGTTTCTGCGTACTGAGAGTAAGCACTGTTTAAACACAGTGAACTGGGCACAGAGAGCCCATCAATATGGTTCACTTTATATATCATATGAAGCTGCATGAAAAAACAACCAACAAAAACACCCGAAAATGTAAAAACCCGCTGAGACACACAGTATCACAAAAAGCAAAACAAAAAAAACAATACAAAGACAGACGGAAGCAAGAAGAGGACCAAGTGTGCAGGAAGACATCTTTTTGCACCCCTCCATACCTCCACTGTAGCCTGAAGGGGCTTGTGCTTCTGTGACCCCATTGGACGACAACACAAAATATGAGAACATATAAAGATGAGAACAGAAAAAGATGAGCTCATCTTAAATCAATCCTTTTCATTCCATCATTATTCATTTGATCCAGTTCAAAGCATGCATCTACTAGACTGTCTTAAAAGAGTGCAAACAAGCTGCAAAGAGTCTCATGCAGACACAAGCCATGTCACAGAGAAAAACTCTCCATTGACTGCAACGTTTTTCTACACGTTTTTGCTACATCAACATTGACATTGAATTTTTATTTCAAACCAAATGAAAATTAAAATACAATATGGCAATACAATACAATATTATTGTTAGATTAATCGTCGACCACCGACTCCCAAATGGAAAATCTCTCTCACAAAAACAGTTAATATAAAATAAATATAATTTATAAATATGTAAATATTTATAGAAGTTTATAAAAATTATAGAAATAAACTACTTCTTTAGAAGGAGATCCTTAAAAATGCCTGCTTTTGCTGAGCATAGCTTTAAGGTCTTTGGGAAACACTGGAAAGAGACTCTTTGCATGAGAGCAACATAAATTCATCGCAGCCTTTTGCTCAAAGATGATGCAAGAAGCTCTGGTTTTACTTACTTACTTTACTTGAAATGAGACTGGTTCAACTTGAATATGAAGCAGTTTTTAAATACAAACATATATCTATATATATATATATCTTAAAATAAACTTACATGTTACTCGACAACTTGTCAGATATTAAAAGGCGGAGGAAATTGAGCAGTTAAAAAGGAAAAAAATAAAATGCCAACTGTCAATGCAATGCACTCATGCCAATCCTACCACTTACCTTTCCAACCTGCTGTGACCACATTCTTCAGAGGCCACAGAATAGAGTGAAAGGCATCTTAGAGAAACATGCATGACGAGATGGGAAAAAGATGAAGGAAAAAACAAAACAAAACAAAGTTTAAGCAGAAAATCAAAAACAGGAGGATGAAGCGGACAAGAGAATGAAAACAAAGTATAGCAATGCCAGCGTTTCAGGGGGAGGGAGAATTGAAAGAATTGAGGCTAAGAAGAAAAAGAGTCTTGTTGTCATATGTGTTGACAGTCTTGTTTACCTGCTGGATGACCTGATTTGCACTTCTTTGCTGGAGTTGCTTCAGTAGGTGTCCTTGGTTCTGAGAACGAAGCAGTCCTCGTGGAAGCTGGAGTCTAGAGCAGATAAGAGAAATTATTTTTATCAGATGGAACGTTGCTTTAGTGCACAGTAATTTGTCAATGTGTCTCCACGAGATGCTCTTCCTGACATAAACATTCCTAATCAGGCAGGGAGTCAGTTTGTTCCCAGTATATCATTCCGTACCTTTGCACTGCTGCTAGCATTGAGGAGGAAGTTGGCAGTATGTGCGTCCATTGGGGGCTGATTAGGAATTGGCCGGTGACCCAGGGCCATACCGACGATGGCTGTCATGTGAGTCTCGGTACCAAAGACATGGATAGGAATACCTGTGGTCTTTCCTGAAGAAGAAAAGTAAAAAAAAAAAAAAAAACTTACATGCTATGACCATTATGGCAACTAGAAACATTTTTATTTGCCCCCTTCCTCTTACATTCCTACTTCCCCCATGACCCTCAGCCCCTCCTGGTAGTTTGGTCCACCTCGACGAACAAAGATCGTGACCTCATGCTCCTTCAGGGGACCCTGGTAGTCTTTGATGGCTCTAACAATGCCCTGAGAAAAGAGCCTGGCATGTCAGCTATGCAGATTATGAAAGTTACTTATAAATTATTAAATTAATTTGGCTCCAAAAACATAATTTTTAATAATTTATAATAATTTGACATGGTGTGAATTATATTTTTATATTATATTTATATTATATTTTACCTTAAATGTGGCTGCTACATTAGTGAAGTTGGCAATACTTCCACCGATGATCAGCACTTTCCCTGCAAAATTAGGAAAGAGAGGCGGGAGAGGGCGTGTGATATGTTAAGAATAAATGCATGAGTGAAATGTGACACCCCAGTAACTGGTGTTAAAATGAGAGCCGTGAAGTCTATTGCTGGTAAGACACATGTTGGAAACATTAACCTTGCAACCCAAGGTAAAACCAAAGGGGCCACAATACAAAACAATGATCACAGACTTTTAGTGAGGAATATATACTTCTTTTTTTAACAGTTTTCTGCCAGGTTTCAACTACCAATAGTTTAGCCTTTTTTTCTTTTTTTCACACACTTTCTACTAAGCCTCTAAAGGGACATTAAAGGTCAAAAATTAAATGTCCCATTAGGAGCGCCGTAACTTTCTCATCAAAAGTAACTAATTACTACAAACCAGAAGCTTTGAAAGAAGACTTTGCAGAGCTCACCATCAGGGTGTTTTTCACGTGTCATGAGGGACAAGATGGTTTTTGCGTAGTCGTAGGTCTGCTGTTCGCTCGGAGCTCCAGAATATTCACCGTAGTTTGCCAGCTCATTTACCCCACCCAGATCACAAATGGTGTCGCTAGGCAAAAGGGACAAAATATTGTCGATTAATTCCTGGGTTTGAATCGACAAGCAAATGGAAATGGGAAACTTTTTACAGAAATAAAGCTGAAGTTTAACACAAAGACTACCTGTACACAACTGAGGCTCCTCCTCCAGCCACCATGGTCCAGATTCGACCACATGGGTTGAGCAGAGTGAGCTTTAGACTTGCACCACTCTTTGAATCCAGGTCAGCTATGTAGGCTTCCTAAAATGCATTTAAGTGTAGATTTGAATGGATCCTTGTCCTTAGCAAATTTAGTTAGCTTAGAAGGTAATATAAGATATCAATATTAATAATAATCTGTATTTCTCTCTTTCTCTTATAAGCCTCTTCTATGAAAAACGCATTTTAAACCAGTACGTGTTACAGAAAGGTATCCGAGGGCTTTTACCTTTTTTTCAGGGACTCACCTCTGGATAGGCTTCCCTCCCGAAAGGAGGTGGAAAGTTGACATCCCCCCATTTTGCCTTGCAGAGATAATCTGCGGTGGCATCAATTTTAGCAGCCACGTCCAGTACGTACACTCCATCTTGAGTTACAACTATTTAAAAGAAGAAGAAACAGCAACATCTTAAACATAGCAAGTGAAAATGTCCAACGAGTAATAGATAGAGTACCTATAACAGTTAGGTTCCTATTTAATTCATATGTTGCAAAGTAACACTGAAACATTTATATATTTTTTATATTTACCAAGCGGGTTGATTTCGAGGTATGTGAAGTAAAGGTCCTCATAGAAGTTGAAGAGGCTTTTGATAAATGTAGACAGGATTCTTTGAAAAGAGAGATAAAGCAGCACAAGGTAAAACCATAAATGCAAACCACATGATGAATGTCATTATAAACACTTCCCGAGCAGTGAATGATACCTTTCCTCAAAGGCTCAATAAAGCTCAAGCTGCTGTTCAAATTCAAAGTTCAGTTATATGATAAGAATCCAAATAATCAGCTCTCTGGTAAAGCCACTCAGCTTCATCAGACAGTTAACACATTATTATGAAAAATACCATTCCTACACAAAAACATTTTCTAGCATAACTTGTTAATGAATCAAAATGTGAATGAAAGCAAATGCAGCCATACTCTTTTTTATCATCTGCTACATGTGTGAGGAGGTGCTCCTTGACCTGGTCCTCATTCAGCGTATCATTCACTGCGACCATCAACCTCTGGGCCTTGGCGTCCACATCACCAACATCCACGCCTCCTTCGTGGTGAAAAAGTATGTAGTCGCCCTCACGAGTGGCATAGATGCACACATAAAACTCCTCCTCCTGGGTGAAGGCAAACACCAAAAATGTACATTTTCATAACATGTTGAGATAATCAAATCATTTATGCACTGCAAATACATTTAATTTAAAAAATGTTCCCCTTCCCAAACACAGTTAACCATTCAGCAAGTCATAATGACTGTGTTGAGTTTCTGAAGCTCTATGAAAGGTGAGGGGAAAGTGCAGTGCATTACCTGTGTGTGTGGAACAAACGGCTCAATGAGGAAGTTCTTCAGCACACCCTTGGCCTTCCCTACCTTGATAAAGCAAACATGATGTCATGAGTCAAGGTATTCTAATAGCAAACAGAATAACAAACAGAAAAAGGCAATAACAATGGAAGAGAGACAGACCATCATAACACTTAAAAAGGTAGGTCTTTCCTACAGGGAAATTGCAAAGAAAGTCAAGGTGTCAGTGAGTACACTTTTCTTCACCATCAAATGGCACTCAGAAACTTGGGGAAACTCTAACAGGAAGTTCATTCAGGTTCATCTTGCAGCAACATAATGACCCAAAACACAAGTCCAAGCAATGATACCTTAGGAAAAAAGAACAAGATGGTAAGCTTGAAAACATGGAGCGGCCAGTACAGTCTCCAGACTTAAACCCTATGGAGGAGGTTTGGGATGAACTGGACAGAAGAGTGAAAGTCAAGCAGCCTACAAGTGCCACACATTTATGGCAACTTCTGCACTGAGACAGAGTAATCTTCCCAAAATAACTATTAACCTTGAGACACAGGACAGCATTTTGACACGGTGGGAAAGAATGTGACCTTGTTGGCAGATTAGCTCCCTGTACGTTGTCTGAGGTTTTTGATTTGATTTGCGTGTGAAACTTTTTTTTAAGTATGTTGCTCTTAAATCTACGACAAGGGGACGCAAAAAAACAGAACCGTTCAGATTTTACATCAAATAATTTGTTTCACCGTCGCTTACGATCTCAGATACAGCTCCAACATTCTACTACTCAGAAACACATTCACATTTGTATTGACTTCGGTTGTATCCTAAACCATGTTCTAATACTTTCCAATGGGTTCAGAACACAGTGATACGTTTCAATGATCTTACTGTGGTTTCTTTCATTAAGTTGTTTTTCAGCCACTCCTTGACTCCCTGCAGATCCAGGTTGGTGCCGACCAGTCCGAGCTTTCCACGCCTCTTGATAAGCTGATCTGGCTTCACCACTAGACGCTGAAGTGAGCAATACAAAAAAATAAATAAATAAATCAACCACAGAGAAAACCATAAACTTTCCATGCTGCTACTGTGATTCGTCAAGATGACAACGGGCCATCCGCCTTCATGTAGGATTTGTAAGTTCAATGACTCCAAACAACAGTCTCACCTGTGTCAACAGCCATGGGTGCTCCTGGGTGAGGCGGTCCAAGTCGGTCTCAGGGGTGACACGAGCATAGGAGAATCGGTTCTGAACAGCCGCTGAGGTGCAGATGTACTTATGTAAGAACTCTTTTCCCGTCTGCTCTGAGATAGCTTTCGCTGACATGGCGACACTGGCTAGGACACAACCTTGGGTGAAAGAGAGAGGCACCAACGATCATATCTTTCATAAAGCGCTTACATTCAAATTGTCAAACTTTACTGCTGTCTTTACACAGTAAAAATAGGCAGAAAAATAAAAATACAATGCCCGGGTGTGTAAGCATTCTTACTGAGAACAAATGCAAAATATTCATATCCAACTATTACATATTATATGTAACATCCAACTATTGTACACCTCTTTGAATGTGTAAAAAATGCTGCGACAGATAGCAATTTACATGTGCTAGAGCCTCCAAACAACACGTCAACACGCAGAAAACACACGGCATCAAGGACTTGACATTCACTATGTTGTCGGACCTGCTCAGCTAATTTGCATCAGACAAGTCACTCCAGATGGTACACTATAAAGCCTAAGATTTTTTAACATGATGGCATTAGTAACTACCACATTTTAACTTCCTTTTTCAAATTAACTATTTGCCATCATATTGCAATAACTCAATAGCATGCTTCTTTTGAAGTGAAACTCCTCCGTAGTTAAGGAGACCTTTATTACTTTATGCCCACTTTCTCCTCAACAACCCAAACAATGATAAACCAAGAGACAAGATAACATAAAGACAAGCACAATTATAGCAACTGCTTGTGAGATAGTATGCCATTGTGCAGGTTACCTTTTTTTTTTAATCAGTGCAGTGTGTCACATTCGGCAACCAGATAAGATATATTACCAAAGGCTTGAGAAGAAGCTTATCTTTAATTCTTTAAACTTACGTTTTTTAACAACAAACCACAGACTGAACAAACAAAAATCGATATCTTATCTACACTGCTTCTGTGTACTAACAGACTGTGGGTGTGATATTCTAGCAATAGCCACAAGCAGCGATGACAGTAGTAGGCAATAGACTACTGTAATATTATTAGCTTAACTCAAATGTTGATTGCTAAAGATTTGCTATGTTTCACCACAATATTTAATATTCCATATATAGCTACATATAGCTATTTCATGTTATACATTAAAGTGTCATAACTGTGTTTTTAATAATAATTATTAATTGTGTTTGTCTTTTTATACCATTAAGGGTATTCTGATCCATTTGTACTAATGAAAGAATACCCTGCACTGTGTTATTTAATGAAGGATTTTTAGAATATCCTAGTTAAGTTCCACGTTCCAAGTTTACACAAATACTTTCAATGTTTTGCAAAAACATAATAATCTATTACTTTGATTAACTTACGTATTTATTTTTGTAGTTGTTTAGAGTTAATATGTATCAAATCACTTATTGTTCTAACTTTATAAATCACTTTTAAATCACTTGCATGAGAAACAGTTTAACTCTAACTTTGGTGCACAGGTCGACCAACGGCAGATGTCCCTGTGTTTATGTGCCATAATCCACGGGACCTCGCCTTTTGTTTGAAACCATCCGGCCATTAAATGCGAGTTGCTATTAGTTTGGCAGAATTATCGAATTTTAAGGCAGCAGCAGCAGCAGCAACACGGTCCTCTGGGAGGGCTCAGCCTCTGACCAGATGTTTCTACGTCAGGCTAGTCTTCAGTGAAAGAACCTCCTGTAATATGCGGCCGCCACACCCACTACCGGAGGCTGAGGTCAGGATTAGCTAGCCGGACAAGTTTAATAACTTCTTCTGTGCAACATTTTGAGCTAAATATTTAGCCACTTCCTGCAGTTGAGCTGTAAAAATACAGCACATGTTAAGACGCGATTCAGGGCAAACTTTTTTCGAAGGACCACGAGCAAATTATATGACAAATTAGGTTACCGAACAGAAACGTTGAAGATACAGGCGTGTACCGGTAAAAGCGCAGTAAACCTGTCAGTTGCCTCCCAGTCCCGCTCCACCGGCCTCACTGAGACACTGGCTAACAGATGTAGCCTAGCAGTAACCGTTGGAGTCTAACTGCATAAACGACGTCAATGTGGCACTTTAAAACAACTTCACATGTAGAACTTACTTTGTCACTTGAAGTGGCACCTTGTCGTAGGACAGGAGTGGTCTACTGGCGTGAAATGACAGAGCCGCTGACTCACGTATTCCACTCCTGGTGCTGTGAATGTGCTCTTCCCACTCGTCACACTGCCCTCGCACCACAATCGGCCGATTGACTACTACACCCCATAATGGCTGCTGATTGGCTCGTGCTGGTCACATGAGACACGCCAGTTACAATTATGATGCTCTGTAAAATTGAAGAGAAAAGAAAAGAAAATCTTTTTTTTTTTTGCTTAAGACAAAACAACTAGGACCCGAGAGTGGATTTTAATGTGTTTATCAGATTATATGGCTCGTTTTTCAAAACCCATTTTAAAAAATAAAGTATTATAAATGTATTAAATATTAAATAAAACAAGAAAAACACCCAAACTGTAATTTAAGGAAAACAGTCTTTTTTCGAGGTTATATAGTGTAGGATTTGGACCCAACTGGTAGTAAAATTAAATGTTAAGCATATGAACATTACACACATTGGGTGTCCTTGAGTGACAGTTTCAATTTAAATCCTACTGAGCTGTTAACTATTCTAAGAATAACCCATGACTATTTATAAAAAATATTTAAAGGTACTATTTTACACACAGCATACCTAATAGTTTAGCAGAATACACCAGTAAATGTCCTCCTTAAATAGGCCTTTTTCCTCCATCCACCTATAGCATCTACCATGTAACTGCCCAATCTCATTGATGTTTAAAGGTCAAACGGTACAGTAAGAGCCTTTATTTATGCGCGATAAAAAGCACGTCTTGTCAATACCGTTTTTAAAAGTCATACACGGATCAATGAAACCGTATGAAGCTTATAACCACATTTTGGAGGTCTGTTTAAACAGGTACAAGAAGTAAAGCGGCTGTACTTACAAAACATGCATAACAACAAAAAGCAAACATACATAAGTAAAATGTAAAAATTTGTAAAAAAAAAACAAAAAGCAAATTTGTACAAATGCAAACACATACATGCTGTGAATCAGACAATCCGAACCTTAAATGTTTTCTTTTATTATTCTTTCTCATCAACATTAATTCCCATCAAGCATTTCTTCCCACTGTTAGCTAGTAAATTTAATAGTAGATGACCAGATTTTAAAAAGATCCTGTAGATCCTGGAAAAAAAAAAATTAGGGGTACGAGCATCTCAGAAAATCCCTGTCATTCCCATGCTGCTTCAACTTCATCTAAACTGAAAGGAGGAATTTCCTGGTCCAGCGTGTGCAAACATTTTTTAGTTATTCTATATCCCGTTCTACAATTATTTCCAATTGGATAAGTCTATATACATTTCATAAATTGAAAAAATGAAGGCAAACCTGGGCTGGAATCAAAACTGAATCCTCCCCCATGTCCACCGAAGAAAGCTCTGAAGATGTTATTGGCATCAAAATCTAGAGCAGGGGTCACTTACGTGGTGTCTGTGAAGTAGCTCTCAGTTTCAAAAAGGTTGGTGACCCCTGATCTAAAGAGAGCACAAGAAAATGTTACAGGGTAAATAGGTAGAGGACACAACGTTTCTTAAAAAAAAAAATGTCAAAAGGTATCTGAAAATGTTTGAGTTGACATGATTTTCTGCTTCAAAAGAATGAAGCACATCCACAGAAGGGCAACTCTGACCCTGGGCAATACAGAGTGAGAAAAAGTTCATTGCGAAGAGTTACATTTGTCCTATTCAGGTTGTTTAAAAGGAACGAACAGTAAAAGATGAGCCTTTATTTCTACTCCAAGAAAAGCACGTCTTGTCAATACCATTTTTAAAAGTCATACATGGATCAATGAAACAGTGTGAAGCTTAAAACCAAATTTTGGAGGTCTGTTTAAACAGGTACAAGAAGTAAAGCGGCTGTACTGACAAAACATGCATAACAAATATTTGTGAAGAACAGCTGGGTGGAGCAGTGACTGCAATTGAACAGAAAACTGTCCTAAAAGTTGCACATGGTGAGTTATTTATTTTCAAATCCAACCTACTGGCTGAGAAAACAGTTTTATTAGGAAAACACATAAGATGAAAAACAAATCCGATACAAGATCGTTTGCAAATATGTCTGAACCACAGTTTTTGTTGACTTGACTGCGAGGTTGACTTATCTAAAAAGGCACCACTCATATTTTCAGTAAAACAAATGTGTGTGACTGGTGCTTATAAAAAAACAAAAACAAAAGTTGTGTGCACAATTATTTTGGCCTGATGAAGAGAGATTTACTACCACAACCAATCACACCAAAAACAGTCATCCCTGTCATACTAAATGAGAAAGACAACAGTTTTCTGTATGAGTTACATAACATTTTACAATAAATAAAAATAGGATGAGAAAAGACTTAAAATGACAAAAGCCACGAACACTTAACGATTCACATTTAAGTAAAACGTAAAATGCAAATTTGAGAAGTGGTAAAGAAAACCAACCAGCAATGAGTCAATATTTGGCAAATGAGCCATTAAACCCTGGTGACATTTTTGAAAGATCAGTGATGTTTTGTTCTCCACAACTTTTCCTGAGGACAGTTTTGACATTAAACCATGTATAGCTTCTTTACAACAGATAATACAATACAGACCTGCTGATCCTGCAGAACTATACAGATATTTAAAAGAGCAACACGTACATTCTTAAAGCCTTTTTACTTCGACTCACTTTTAAGAAAGTAGTGTCACTTTAACAAGATTACATATCATTTAATGGGGTTTTGCCAATATTGGACATGCTGTGAATCAGACAAACCTTAAATGTTTTCTTTTATAATTCTTTCTCACCAATGTTAATTCCCATCAAGCATTTCTGAATTATTCCTCCCACTGTTAGCTAGTAAATTTTAAAAAGGATCCTGACAAATAATTAGAGGTACGAGCATCTCAGAAAATCCGTGTCATTCCCAGCGAGGGTGCATTTTTTCCCCCATGCTGCTTCAACTTCATCCAAATTGAAAGAAGAAATTTCCTGGTGCAGCTTCTGCAAAACAAATATTTCATTATTTTACATCCCCTGTTCCATAATTATTTCCGATTGGATAAGTCTATATATGCGTCATAAATTGAAAAAATAAAGAAAGCAAACCTGGGCTGGAATCAAAACTGAAACCTCCTCCATGTCCACCGAAGAAAGCTCTGAAGATGTTATTGGCATCAAAATCTAGAGAGAGCACAAGAAAATGTTACAGGGTAAATAGGTAGAGGAAATGACATGTTTCTTAAAGAAAACAAACGATGGTATATCAGCCTGACATGTTTTCAAAACACTGTTATTGTTTTTGCATGTACACATGAAAAGAAAATGTTAAAAGGTATCTGAAAAATCCTGAACATGCTTAGGTTGACTTCAAAAGAATGAAGGAAGCACATTCACAGAAGGGTGACCCTGACCCTGAGCAAGAGTGAGAAATGAATCATTGTGAAGAGTTACATTTGTCCCATTCAGGTTGTTTATGAGGGATGAAGAACTAGTTTGTCTTGAAAGAAACAATGAGGCTTTTTTTTTTTTTGAAAAACAATGACCCCATCAATTTAAGACTGACTTTATTAACACAAATTTGAAAGTAAGGGAAAATAAAGAAACATACTACTTTTGAAGAATATTTGAATTTTTATATCCATTGTCTGTGTATCATCCAATAAGTATTTCATTAGATTAAAAAAAACATTTTATGTTGCTTGTATGACCAATCAAAAAAAAGAAGCAGAGGTTGATGCCTGTTGAACATGTACAGCTGTACTGTTCAACAGAAACAAATCCATGCCAGGTTGGCAGCTTAACCAATCTATAAATATTTGTCCCTCAAAGTATGCCCAACGTAAGAATTACAGCCTGTAGTAATTAGTTTGAGACTATTATACTAAACTGAATCGGCCTACCCTCTTTAGTCTAATACATTAGAAGTATATACAAAGTAATTTCCCTGTTTATAAGCCAAAGTATAATTTAGTAGCAAAACTGGCACATAATTCAATTCTAAAACCACACAAACACACACACACACACACAGTATATAGTATATTTAAGTGACTAAATAGAATAATTCATTCTCTGCTGCTCCGAGAACTGAACCACTCCTCCAGTTGCTCCGTTAACTCCATTTCTTAAATCATACTACTAACTTCAACAGTTAATCCCAAATTAGCCAGGGGAAAATTGTCCACCAAAAATATTTACCTCCACCGTTTAAGCCGCCATCATCCTCCAAATCTTGGCCACTGTCATACCGAACCTTCTTCTTTGGGTCAGACAGGACCGTAAAGGCTTCGCCGACTTCTTTAAATTTCTTTTCCTCCTCCTTCTGCACTTCTGGTGTTGCTGAACTATGGCGGTCTAGAAAATAGCCATATGCAGCCTTTGTTTAAACTGAGAATGGACGTGCTAAAGGTGTGATTATAAAACGGTAAAGCTACCTGGGTGGTGCATTAGGGCTCGTTTGCGATATGCTTTTTTGATTTCATCTTCGGTGGCATTCTTGCCGACTCCCAGCACCTTGTAGTAATCTTTCCTCTTGCTCTTCTTCAGCTGCAACTGTGCCGTCTTTAGTAGATGTTTGTGATCTACAACAATGAAATAGACACAAGACCGTCTGAGAATCATAAGTCCGATGACTTAATGTGAGATGAATGAGCAGAGCAGAGCAGATTACCTGTTGTTTTTTCTGTCTGGTAAACTTTTTCGTAGTCCCGCACGGCCTCTTCATACAGCTCTGTATCCATGTAACTATAGAACGCACAATGTGTTCATGGTGTCGAGTGTGTTTAAAAATATCAACGCTGTACTGACAAAAAAAAAAAAAGAGAGAAAAGCATACCACTGAGCCCTCCTTAAGTAGGCCTTGATGTAGGTGTCCACTGAGCTCTCCTTAAGTAGGCCTTGATGTAGGTGTCATCAAGTTTGATTGCACAGGTACAGTCTTCAATAGCCTGATTGAGTTTCTTCAGCTGTGAGAGAAAAGGACTGTAATATATCTGCAGTAATGTAAACAGTATTTATAAAATTAAATAGCATGTTTTTTCCAACAAGACATTATCCATTTTGTTTTCAGTGTGGAGAGCTGCTCTAGTCTTAGTCATGTCCTTTACAATTGCAGTGTTTATTATAAAAACCTAAAGCCTTCCGGACCCAAGTCCGCTTCCTTTACCACTAAGCCACAAATGCCCCTAAATTATTAGTGAATAAATCCAAAGCAAAGACGTAAACATTGTGTATGGTGCAAAATGTTTTTCAGTGTTAAATATTTTAAATTAATACCAGTTTACTATGTTTAACCAGCACTTACAAGGGCTACACAGCTGTGTATTTTATCCACATTGTATTTAAAGATATGAAAATACATGTACAAGAAGGTGTGACCTACCTTTGCTCCTGCTGTGGCTCTGTTGCAGTAGAGTTTAGCATTTGTCTTTATGTTGTTGGGGTCTATTGCCAGGGCTTCAGTATACAACTGGTACGCAACTTCATATTTGTGGTTCTTGAATGCTTGATTACCTTCCTCTTTCTTGGCTTTTAGTGCTTTGGCATTCTGATTTAAAAAAAGTTTCTTTGTTACCACAAGCAGCATTTTAGACATAAGAAGAAGAAAATACATCACTCATGTCTATATATCTTTCTGAGTAATTTTCACTTTCTCATAAAACATCAGCACATTTGGATTCTAGGATATGTAATTCCTGTGCAGAACATTTTTTGTAATTTGGTGATTCCAGGTTACAGCGTCTTACCTTGCAGGCCAGTCGTGCCTTCTCATGGTCAGGTGCCATGCGCAGAGCTTGGACAAAGAACTGTACAGCCTTATCAATGCAGTCCTCATAGTAGAGACATAGACCTCGAACATACAGGGCATCTGCATTTGTTGAATCCAGTCGCAGGATATCACTGTGTAAAGAGGTTTTGTTTCTAGGACTGCCACGTTACAACCCTATTACACGTATTACGGTAGATGTGTCTATTAATTTAAAATTGTAGTAAAAAAGAAATGATTTGTGAATGAGTTATTCTTCATAAAAAGTCAATTCTTCCCACCTTGCTACAGACTGAGCTTCTGGATAACGTCCGAGCAGAGCCAAACACTCAGCCTTGAGGATTTTGAATCGGTGACAGGCAGAAGCCAAAGCTAATGCTCTGTCCATACAATACACCACCTGGATAAAAGAAAAATACCATGACAGTTGAACTCTAGTATCTGTTACTAAAACACATACTATCAAAACCAAGGAAAACATTACATTAAAAAAATAAGTGTGAAATACCTTTCTAAAATCTCTCTTTTCAAATCCAAAGTCTGCCATTCGCTCAAACTCTAGCAGAGTTGCTGCATTTTTATTCTACAACACATAAGACGCAGAAGCAGGTCAGTGCTTTTTCTAATTACAAACAGCATGAAACTAAACAACACGATAAGCAAAAGTGTGAATTTAAAAAGGGCAGTAAAATAAAGTCTGAGAGAACCCACCTCCTGTTGGGCTTCTTTGTTGCTTGGCTCCAACTCCAAAACCTTTTGGAAGCAGCGAGTGGCTGCCATAGCATTTCCCAAAGACAAATGACACTTACCCTCACGTAAATGACCCTAAAGGATGGAAAGAGTAACCTCATTATAAACTGTTCTGACTCATGTCATGAATAAGAACCAGATACTTAAAAAAACAGAGTTTGAATAGAAGTTCATGGTAACCTTCATAAAACAGTTATCTAGTCGCACAGCCTGCTGGGAATCTTCCAGGGCCTCTCGAAAGCGACAGAGCATCATGAGAGTGGCTGCCCTGTTGCCATAATAGCTTGCATTTTTGGGGCAAGTATCTTAAAGGAACAGAAATGGAAAAAAAACATGTCACAAAAACACACTGAATGCTGAAAAACTCACACCAAAATATACAATAGCAGATAAAATAATTATACAAATAATATACACACGTTTAATGAATTTCAGATGGAAAAAAAAAAATCATCTTTAATGAACTGAACATTTTGTTGTCTCAAAGGGAACAAATACTTAAATATGTATGTAAAGTCACCCCTCTTCCATATATAAATAAACTAATTAGAACTGTAACACTCATGATCTCATTTTATAAACATATCCATACAGATTAAAAAAAACTAGACAGATCAATTTGGGTGCATTCCAAGGAAACTAACACACACTGGACTAAAGAGGCCTCAAATCAACCATCAAATTTCTGGTTAGAACAAATATTACATAATAATTAGAAAAATATGAACACCCAATCTTTATTGACCAACATCTCACCAATGGCTTTAGTATAGTAGTTGAATGCCTCTGAGTAAGATTTCTTGCTGTACAGTGCATTTCCTTGCTCTTTGAAGCACTCAGCCTGACTGCAGACAAAAAGACAAAAAGCCAACGTCAGGAAAACAAATTTCATTAACAAAATGAAAAATAAAACCAAGTAAGGATGATCAAATTTGGAAAGTATAAACCCAATTGATGTGACATATAATTTCTGCCATATAAGGCAGATAAGGTGGGGTGGGTAGAGATGTTATTTAGAGAATTTAACTGTGGTGCTGTGACCAAAACTGGAAACGCAGGAACATTATGTCCTTAAAAACCTCAAGTAATGAACACAGGAATGAAGTTAATCTAAAATGGGTCAATTGTGTCAGACATACCACAGTGGTTCACACATGCAATCTGTAATTTAGTCCACAATCTAAACATTACAGCAAGTGTTTCTCTTTAGTATTATGAATGCTCTGTATCACAGGGAACATTACTGTAATACTGAGATGCTTCGTATGCATGTCTACATGCTAAAACAAAAACGTTGTCCACAGTGATAAAATGTCTTAAAATATTTTTTTTACAATTGGAAATTTTGGGTACTACATTTTAGTAATTCATTTTGAGTGAACCTCAAAAACGTTTCACCTCTCCAAGAGGCTTCATCAGTTCTACTGAGTAGAACAGTAGAACTGATGACGCCTCTTGGATGAGAGGCGATACATCTTCAATTCACTTGAAGTGAGTCCAGTTGCCTATTTTTAAAACTGCTTTTGAGATTGTTATGATGACCTGGATGACTGAGAATATCCACAAGTATTTTGAGTGAATGTTAAAAAGCTCTCTTTTATGGTACCTTAAAATTGAAAGGATTGAGCTAAACAGAATTCATTGTACTGGACTTTACCCTGGACCCTGCTATGTTTAAAAACATTTAAAGCCCGAACTAGCAGGTTCTAGCTTCAGTTCAGCCACTTTCTGGTTTTCAGAAAAGTATTGGTTTGAAAGTCAAAGCAGAGCAGAAAAATAAGAGTAGTGTGAGCAAATAATCACCTTTTATATTATAATAACTAATTGATCTATTACCCTCAAAGCCCTACAAGTTTGGGAGTAATGTACTGAAATAAGAATGCTATATATTTTTGGAGTCCTTTCTTTTTCATGTCATAAGTCTATTAAGCACTGCTTAAAAGTTTTTATAATGTGTTTAGGGTTTCTATTGCCACAGCGTTATCTTAGCTCGGTAATCAAGGCAGTTCCGAAGTAACTAACCGACGACTATTTTCCCATCAACTCTTCAGGAAAACGAAACCTAACGTATAGCTTGAGACAATTAAAAGGTGCAATGTTGCAGCATTTATATTTATGCTAAATTGTATGTTGAAAGAAACGTGATAATTACAGTGATACTTACCATATCCTTAGACAAAATAAGGTAATTTCCTGCTATCACATATAAGTCACAAAACCACACCGTCTCACAAACTCCCATCCGGCATCCTGTACCCCCACATGGCAGTATGTGATGTTTTAAAGGTTCAGGTTAGCGTTCTAACCGCAGAAATCACAATATAGACAAGAGAAAATGTATTACAAGTGCAAAAACACGCTGCCTTGACCCTTTAGCTAGTTTTTAAGCTAATTCCTCAAACCCATGTCAGAGAATAAAACGACGTGATTCTCTGGATTTTCTTTCATTTTTAAATTTCACATATTAATTAATTTGTAATACGGGTTAACAACGTCCGTTTATTTACCGCTGGAGGTCCTCCTGATTGAGAATTGGTGGCTCTGTTTCCACCGGCACGTCGATGTCAACAGCTGCCATCTTTTCTAGAAAGGACGAGCAAGAATATGCGTCACTTCCGGAAGGGCTAACGTCTGCTTTTTTTTTATTTATTTTTTTTTTATTTCTAGGGCAAGAAAAGCTAGGTCACCGTAAATTATCCATATAATTACAAATTGCATTGTTTGTATTACTATTTCTTCTCGAGCTCTATTTATGTGTAAACAATTTGTAAATAAAAAAGTACCTAAATAACAATATTTCTTATAATCCTTTTTTTCAATGTCGAAAAAAGCGCAATTAAACACACTGTAAAAGTGTTTTGTATATTTGTGTGTGTATATGTGCATAAATTGTAATTGATTGTAATGATTTATTATTTACTATTATATATATATTATTGTTATTATTCCATCATACTCTCAGCACTTAGCTATAAGTTGATTCAATACTACCACCACTACTACTTTTACTGCTACTACTACTACTAATAATAAAATAAATTTGTTTTTGACCATATTCATCTTTGATAATATTTGACACATCTAGTCTTGTTTTGCTTTGACTTAATTTAATATTAAACTAAAACCTAATCCCCAATGAACCATAATTGATGATGTTGATGTTGATGTTGTCCTTACCTCCAGGATCAAGCATATAGAAGAACATGATGCAAATTGTGGGTACTGTTAAATCAAAAAGGTATTGTGTTCGATTAATGGATAGACATTGTAAATGAAGCCTCCGCAATCCTCATTTAGGTGCACCATTATAAAAGCAACAGTAAAATAGTTTGCCTTTGCCAATGGGAATGGATTGTAATGGCTTCACTTAAATGTTACAATGTGGTCCTTTAATCTAACTGACATCACAATTTACATCCTACTCCCCAATACAACCGAATGTGTAAAAGTGATGTGGACAAAGTCATCACAAATGGAAGAGGAAATATAGAGAAACATGCTGGAATTGAACACATTTGATGAAAGGTGATATTCTTACTTGGGTCTGACAGCCGGGAAGATAAACTTGAGGATCCTAAGAGGTTACTGTAGTGCAATAACCAGTATCCAACTGATATAAACTGAACGAATTAGCTGGTCAATAAGACAGAGCCCTGACAAAGCTTTGGTTTACTTTAGGACAATGACACAAACACACAAACGGTTTTTTGTGTGCACTCACCAAAATATAATGTGTTCTTTAGCCTCTTGTCATAACTATTATAAATAAACCTAACCTCAATATTTAGCCTAACAATATCTGATATCTTGGCAAAGTTTTAATCCTACCTCTAACCTATATTTTGAACCGTTAAATACCAAATCATTCACTAGGCACGAATATCCTTAGAAAGTATCAACACAACAGCATAGTTCCATAAAATACTATAACATCTTATTTGTATCATCTGAATATTCGGGCAATTTGATCCACTAGAGGGCACTAAAGAATCACATATAAGATTGACCATACAAACCAGTGGGTCGTTAATCTGCATTTTCTTTTTTTTAAATTTGTGAAACCTGACTTATTTCAGCTCCATGGAGGTAATGTATCATTTCATTGTGTATCTGAAGGTGCTTCTATTTACCTCACAAGAAATGAAGCATTAAGGAAACACTATACAGATATTAGGTGCTTCTATTTACCTCACAAGAAAGCATTAAGGAAACACTATACAGATATAGGTCGTGAGCACCACAAAACAGTTCTATTTTGTTATTTACAATACAGTTTTGACATTTTTTAACTTATAACAGTTAACATTATTGCAACTGATGCACTTACACTCATAAGTTATTTACACTTGTTTACACTTGGAAAATTTTAAAATACATATTGCTTATGAGGATTTAGCACAGTCGTTTGGGAACATTTCTTTTTAAATGAAATTACCACACGCACACACACACACAGAGAGAGAGAGAGAGAGAGAGAAACATCAATGCACACTGTCAGACGGATGTGGATAAACCTATTCATTTTTTTTAACAACTGCATTTATCTTCATATTGCACAAACATTATCAAGCTGTGGCAAACTCTTATTTTTACATCAATCACCTGAAGAAATGTTCATTTAATCATGGCTCTAGGCAAACAAAATCAAGTATAAAACACTATAACTTCAAATTCAGCCATAGTATTGTGCAGTGGGTGTTTGTTTCCATAAAGCAAAGGTTTCTTGGCGTCAATTTCACTGTGGTTGTTGATTGTCATTTCACAACACGGAGCAAAGAAACACAAGTAAATAACACAGTAAAGGATGTGCATCAGCCACTTCCTGTAACTCTGTCCAGTTACTGGTCTATTCATGATCCTTTATGAAAATGAAATAAAGGCTTAAGTAGTGTTCTTGTTCTCCCAGAATATGACGGTAAACTATAAAAATTAAAGACATCTAACAAATTCTCATCATCACTGTCTTTTTTTTCAAGTCTTATAAATAAAATTAAAATATGTTATGGCTTTAATGTTTCCCAAACCACAGAAAATATGCACTCAGCAGACTGTTGAAAAGAAACAGCTGAGTGATGGTCCGTCCATTTTTAAGAAGTAGCGCTGCTCAGTCAACACTGATAACTTGACCTGCACCAGGGGACTGAGCATGAGTGTGGTGTGCCCGACATGACGCGTGGACTCGCTGCCACTGCGTAGTGTCCTGTTGTCACTCTGGGGTCCCCCCACTCTGTACAGCTTTGGCTGGAATTGGCTCCGTCTCCTGAGCATCCCTCTTGCCAAGTTTGACTCACTGTTAGTATGGTGAGAAGATAATAGGTGTGTGTGTAGCCCTTAAAGGTCCTGGGGCAGGCCTGAAGAGTGAAGGGCTGAACAGGGGACCTTGTATTATGGCTGAGGGGCCAGATGGCAGCCTTAACGCTAAAGGTCCTGGTGCCATGGTGCACAAAGCAGCTGGATTGAGGGGGGCAGTCAGGAGACCTGCCGGTAGGGCCTTTGACAGCTGCTTCTGCAGGGCCAGTTTAGTCTAAAATGAGAAAAAAAAAAAACAACAGCTGCAATTGAGTTGCATTTCATCATTTGTAGATTATTGACCGATAACTGTTGAATGTATAATACTGCAGCACAGAGAGGTTTAACGCAAAAATTAGACCATTAGTGCATGTTAAAAGTAGTTCACTGTGTACTTGTAGCCTACATTAACCTACATTTCCTCTGATGCACATAATCAAATATACCAGAGTACATGCATTGAAACGTTCTAACCATGTTTATGTTTGAAGGACAGATACTTACTGCAAACACTGCACTAGATCGCAGTTTATTATAGGGCATGAACTTGGCTTTCATGGGCTTTCCTGCCAAACGCTCTCTGTGCCTCCTGCTGTTCATGTGCTGTATGTGGAACACAAAACACAACAAACATCTAAATAGTACCTTGGTACAACACATAGTTAAATATATGTATACACATATATATAAATATATATATGTATATGCTTTTTGTTGCAATGACCCTGCAATCAGATGATGAAAGCTGCAGTCTTCTCGAGCTTCTATGAGTTCAAGACACCTGCATTTGGACGTGGCCACTCACCTGTTTCAGCTGTGTTTCTGAGTTGACAGACACCTGACACAGCTCACAGTGAAAGGGCCGGTTGGAGACAAAAGCTACGGCTCTTGCTTTGTTGGCCACCCGCTTCTTAATTCGGTAGATGGGTCTCGGCAAAGACATGGTCTTGACCCGGCGCTTTGACTGGCTGCCGTTGTGACCGTCCAGCATTTGTTTGTGCTTCGAGCCTGATTCAGTTGACAGAAAGGTTGGGCAAAAAAAAAAAAGAAATTACTACATCACTTCATTTTCCATCGATGTGGCAGGTATCAAATTACAAACTACCTACCACTACAGTGAGCCTCCAACTGAGAGCTTGAATTGACCGTGACTTTGCAGGTGGGACAGTGAAGGCTATGTTTTTTGTTGTTTTTGGCCTCCTTGACGTCTTCTGCCTTCACCGCCTCGTCTTCAGCGGCCGTGGGGCTTTTCTGAGCGTCGCAGCAGGTGTCTGAACCGTCGGTCAGTCTGCAGTCCTTCTCAGGTGGACAATCTGAGGCTGCATCAGAGAGCTCAGAGTGAGGGGAGACTTGTGGGGACAGTTGAGGACACAATGAGGAGTCCTTAGGTGGAGGATCAGAGGGATCGGTTGTTGCCGGTGAACAGCCTTGGACGTTCGCACTTTGCTGCTGAGCAGGTTGAGAAACGGTGCCTGAGCCTAAAAGATAAACACAGATTGTAGATGAGTCAACGGTGTCCAAATGTTTTGAATGAGGGAAATGGGAGTTATGGATTCCGGTTTTTCTGACTAATGTGAGTGACTCGCACATTATTTGACTCATTTATTTGTGTTACATTAATTCAGTTTGAATATCAAATATCCATCAAATCGTTCTTTCCTCGTGCCTTTGCATGTGGCATTTGTACTGTACACTCTGGAGCTCCCTTCAATCGCCATCAGTCAACAACCATGGCAACTGTCTGAATGTAACGAGCCTATCATTTTGTGGTTGGAAGGAAATTGATAGGTGCCAAAGAAAATTGCTGAGAGAGATCAATAATGAAATGAAGGCGAGACAGAAGACCGAGAAGGGGACGTTGTTTTTTTCAGCCAGGCAGCAGATGAAGCAGAATGACAAATCACTGACAAAGAGCCAAGGCTAACAGATGCTCCTTTTGTAGACAAAAAGTACTAGTTAAGAAGTTTCGGGCCACATTAACTATCCATATTATCATTCCATTAAAACCAGTGGTTCTGTTATTTTCTGTCATGCCCCCCTTAGGGGACCGAAATGTTTTCAGGCCCCCCTGTTCCTGACCCAGACCCCTGCGAATTAAAATACTATTGAAAACCTGATAACATGTATATTTTTATCTGTACAAACCACTGTAAGAGTTGCTGCCACCTAGTGACTGGAGGCTATCATTCCAGCATTACAGCAGTGCCGTGGTACGGCAGTACTATTTGAGAAGTACTGCCTTAAACTGGCTATGCCTCTGAGTCAGCACTGAATGTCTCTCTAGATCATTGTCAAAACACAAATAGATGTGTTCGCTCTTTGTTAATATGTGATCATAATTGATGCACTGTGCTTATGATAATTCATGTATTAATGGATCAGCTAATATATGAAATGGGATATATTTCTTGCACCCACTCTACCTGCACCTGGGCAGCTTCATATCACAACAAGGATCCACAAACCAAATCAGCAACAAAGGAAGTAACCGTTCATCAAATGCAGGTCCAATTTTAGGCACTTCAAGACGTCTCCATTTGCAGCCTGCCTTGGGTTGATGAGCGTAATTACCCACCTGACGGAGCCAGCGATATCAGGGCAATAATAGAGGGCAATTAGCCACAGGAGTGACAGCAGCCAAGCCTGAGTGCTTATGTCACACCAATTATCACTAATTGTAGGACAGTGACAGAATGCTTCAGAAATGGACAGGTTTGTACCTGTTCTGTCTGTCGAATGGGACTCTGAAGCAGGAAGGGTTTCTGCTCCCGTCGTTCCATTTTCTCTGTCTTTCCCAGCTGTGTACAGACCATGTCCGTTCTTCTGCCGGTTCCTCTGGCTCTCCAGGGCCTTTAGCTTTCGGGCATGCTTGTGACCCTTGTAGTGCGCCTCTGCTTGATTCTGGACGCAGGGATACACACAGAAGAGGTTCAATTCAACACATAAAATCAATGATATTAGTAATTATATTAATTATTATGAAGTCTTAAAAAGACCAACATGATCACAATCTATTCCAATATCCCCATCCTAGGACGTGTTTATTTCTCATCATAATTAATCACAGCAGCTACTGTATTTATACCCTGTTTGTTGAAAAAGTTCGTGGACACTTTCCATTGATGCCAACTTTTTTTTTGTTTACTTGCCCAACTCGCACAGACAGGTTCACAATAGAGTCTGAAAGGTTTTGTTAACTTGTTCTTGAACTGTCTGGCTTCACGTCACTGGCAGTCTGATTATTTATTTCCTTGTATTATTTGCTGAACAAAGGCTGTAAAAAATCCAGCGAACGCAAATTCAAAAACCATTGTGTGGATACGAGGTCTCCTTTTAGTATAAAAATACAAGGGACACTGGCTTACTTTTCAGTCCTGAGCAAAAGGCTTGACCTAAACTATGATCACATGATTGTTACCAACAACTCAGTATATTTTTACAGTATATTTCACCGTGTACTAAACCATACGGTGGCTGTAAAATGTCTGAATTAACTGGGTGCTGAAATGAAAATTCTGTGCTGAACAGTAGATGACATTGTCCTAAGCACTAACCTAACAGCAAAAACACTGCAGCTGTCATGAGAAACAACTGAATGCATTTATTATGATTTTTTTGGTGTTGGAGCAATATTTTGTTACTGTTACAATGTCCAAAATTAACGTATCGACCGATATGCCAATAGTGATATGCTGATATTGTCCAAATACTTAATTTCAGATTCTGATATCAACCAATACCAATATAGGCCTGGTAATATTTATCTGTACAAACCACTGTTTGACTGTGAGATTAATTAAATAAGGTGCATTGCTGCCATCTAGTGATCTTTGCTTTAATAACAGCTGTTTATCCCCAAAACCTTTTCCCCAAAAATTTCTAGCACACACATCATTAGGGAAAACCCAGGCATTGGATACCGATAACAATTCTTACAGATATTACATAATATATGCTAATATCGGACTGCCTTAAATTGTCACTGTTCTGAAAGGGCTCCTTAGCACAGTAAAAGTGAGTACTGACCTTAAGATGAATCAAAGACGCCATCTTACTTTGACTTAAACTTCCATACTTATCAAGTTCAGCAGACAAGACAAGGAGAATATCTTTTAAGGCTTAACTAAAGCAAACAAAGACCTATTATTAATATTCATTATGAACAGTCTGGCGCTTAAATACAGGGTGGGAAAAGATCTGATTCGATAAGGTCACTGTGGACGGAGGAGAGTCAGATCACTCAGGACAGATGCCGGCTCACGGCCTGAACGATTATCGGACTGACCGTGGAGTTGAAGCGCAGGTGGCAGACGTTACAGGAGATGATGGGTTTCTTCTTGGGTGGTGTCACGCCGAAAGTGTGGCTTATGACGGCCTTTTGCACAGGGTCCATCTACATGGAGAGACAAAAGCACAGGAAGGTGTTGTTGTGATTTTTGTTGTGATTTTTCAGCTGTTTTTTTCAGTTCACTTTAATAAGCCTGGGTTTAAATATAACTTTGATTTAATATTTAAATTTAATGTTGTTAGTATATATTTTTCCAAATCATTCTATTGACAATTGAGTTTTGAACGGGCCCAGGAACAATAATGTCCTTACTACTATTATGTCACTACTACTATCAACACCTCCATTTGTCTGTGTTGGTGTGGGTAATTCTCTCAGTTAAACTCAGATTAAATGGATCAGGACGATCCATTTTGTGTGAAGTAATGGTCAATTACCCGTGCATGGCTCTGGCTTGAGTTTGTTTTTTTTTAGAATATGAAATGAAGAAGCCACACACCAATTTACACTTTCAAAATAACCTTTTCAGATCAGTTGGTTTTCAAGTGTTAATCCCCGCGGTGCAGCAGTGTTGGTAGAGTCACTGTTTAATTCTCTCTGTGTCAGACGAGACTCTTTTTTTCATCAAGCCTCATGTCTATATTTAGAACTCACCTTAGAAATGTGCTGCTCTGCAATGAAGTCCCATAATTATACATTATTTTTTTACTGAAACGAAAATTCTAAACTACTATTTAAAGGCCGGTGCTGTGGAAACTGCTTGAATTTAATTGTTTTTAAAGTGACAGTAGGACTTGTTATTTAAAATTGTATACGCTTATTCTGGTAACTTGCACTGACTCATGACATATTTGTTTGGTCCAGTGAGAATAGTACTTTATATTTTAAGTTTAGTGGAGTTTTGATGTGTCAAACCCTCAGAAATACAATAACGATCTCCAGAAGATACTTTCCTGTACTAGAAAAATATTATGTAACTCACCGCGTTGAAATTAGGGAAGAGACTCAGGGGCGTGGAACCATTGACCCTGAGGGGCAGAGTCAGCGGCTGTGACTGTAGAGGTCGAGCTGGCAGAGGCAGGGAACCCAGGAGAGGGTGGACTTGACTGTGAGACAGTGCACCTTCAACAAGACGAGTCACAACAACATTAACAATTTTCATTCACTAACTTCGTTCATTAACTCCTGTATGTTACGTTTGTAAAATGCAGGGCTGAACCCAAATACTACTGCTACTGTATGTCAACAGCATTCAATTTCACGTTGCTTTGATCCCTAGTACACAAACAGATGTGGAAAATATTTGTAACTGTAAAGATTTTTTCTTTATTTCCACTGGAGACCAGAGCCACACTTCCCTCCACAGAGGGACTGCCATCTGAGACCAACAGTCATTTCTGAAATGAATGATTTACTCAGCGATCATCGACGACTACATTAACAGCTGAGGATAAATGATGAGAGTCTCTTTGTGGCCTTTTCCTCTGTCACATCACCATCATTTATCTTGATAAATGTCCCCGGACCTTAAACACAGCACCCGTGTAAGGGATTCTGTGGCTTTGTTCTTTCTCAAAAATACTTGGGTCGCTAAGATAATGAGGAAATAGAATTAAATCACATTTAACTTCCTGAACAGATTCAGTTTGTGTCAGATATTTAGAGACTTATTTTAATCAACCATCCTCAAGTCAACCCTCTGGATTCATGACCAGTCTGCTCCATTCATAACCCGTCCATCCTGGTCACTCCCATTGAAAATGTCATCTTCAACTCTGCCACCTCTGATGCAGCATTGAAAAATAAAAAGCTAAACGTGGGGGTTATTTGTGATCCATTTTGCTTATCTTGGGATTTTATACAAATACTGGAGAGCAGAAAAACGGATGAGAAGACAAACAAAGGATATGGCTGGATATTTTTATCTGTACGTGTCAGCAAAATTGTCTGTCAGTGCAGACAAAATGATCTATTTGAGTTAGCGATCGGCTAATGTCTCTCTTGCTTTGTCCTCCATTTCCTATGTTGCTGTGACTGTACTGTAGTTTCACAAACCTCTACACATTCATATTACAGTTCCTAGAAATAAAAGCAACAACTGTGGGAAAGGCTTAATTGCCATTGTGTCTGGAATAACGCTCGGTGTGAGTCAACATCACGGCAATAGAGAGAGAGAAAGAGAAATGGCAATTCTTCTACAATGCATGAGGATGAGAGGTTTTCACGGCCGTGAATCAGAAAGCATCAGAGGAACGGCTGCTCTGGCTCATTTCACGGTTAATCCTCTTCATAGTACTGAATAATCTGCCGAGGACGAGTCGCTACCGGGACGCAATACCACTGATATATACACACATGTAAACAGGCACGGATCTTTAGTTATTCAAAATTTCTCTGGTTTGACATCATTGATATTCCACGATGAAAGAAATTTGTCCAACAATGACGCCCACAGCTGAGAAACAAAGATGTGGAGGACATCCAGGTAGCAGAAGAGAATAAACAGAAACCCAGGTCTGAAACTGCAGGGGTATTGCAAGGAAAAGGCAGAAGTATAATGATAATATGAACAAATTATATAATTTGGAAAGGTTTAGCGGACCGAATTAAAAAGCTGAACGGGCCGTATCTGGCCCCCGGGCCTTAGTTTGCCCATGCCTGCGCTAGACTAAATCAACACTAGACTAATGAGTCATCGGAATGCACTTTGGTGTTTTGTAATTCATCGGCTTTAAAATCATTGGCTTTTACAGATTTGTATGACAGAAAAGTGAGTATCAATTTGTCAATTAAAGTCTCAAATGATTTGCTATTGAAACAATTGAATTAACCATTGTTTTGAGGCTTAGGCCTAGGATTAAAAGTCAGGCTTGAGGATGCAGGTTTCTAAAGTTTCTGCGGTGTTGACTCATATTCAGAAGTTCTGCCTCTGCAGAGACCCTGCTTTGAGGACCTTCTTCAAACAGCCTCAGGCTGGAAGCTGAGGTCTGCGTTGCTTTGTTGGAGCTGCAGTGATTCAGCGGCTCCACTGTCCCCGATGCTGAAACTCGGTCAAAGCATTTCCTCAGGAATAAAATAAAACATTTTTCTTTTATCGACTGCCTACTGAGAAGAAAAATATATCACGGCAGACACATTTGGGCCAGAGGTCAGTCACAGTCATGATGCACAGGAGCAGCCCACTATACAGCAGATCAGTGCTCACATAGCTGGGAATTCCAATTTAATGCACTTTTAATGTTGAGACTTATTGCAGCATTTCATCACGTATCCAACGAGCAATAAATGTGCAGTTCTAATGGTGTAAATAGATAGATAGATGACGGGAAATGTGTAAAGTGCAGGGAGTAAATTAGATCGGGATACTGCGTGTGCTGTACTTTAAGATAATGAGTAAATACCGGGGTCATCGTTGATCTGCAGAGGAGTTTGTTTTGGGGTGATTTGCAAACTGTCATTTGCAGCTATTTGTGTTTGTACCCCATCATATACACCTACATGTGAGTGTTTGTGTGGGAGGCATTTCTGGATTTTATGCTGATCACTATTTACACCAGGGATTTCCTGTTCCTGAGTGCAGACGGGACAATACTGTAGCTCACTGCTGAATCAGATTGAATAGGGTTAATTCTTTCTGTTGTACCAAACAGGTAATTATTCAACATTTAAGTATGTGTTTCCTCTGGGGGGATCAAACCCAGGACCTTTTGCATGTAAGGCAGATGTGTAAGCAGCTCCTTTAAGGTTTCATTATGTCTAAAATAGATGATAAATGTGTGGTTGAATCTGCATGAAAACAATAATGCACACTGAGCTCTCGACAATAGACTGCATTCAGAGGGAATGGAGCCAAAAGCTGTGTTTACAAAGACAGCATTTTAAAATATCTACATACTGTATGATTGGTTCCACCTTCATCATTTTGTTATGCCCCTGGTAATCCTCTCTATTATGTGCTTACTAGGACCCCGACCGATATTTTCACATTGATCTCTGGCCAGATACGAGTCAACGAGGTGGCAGCCACATCATTTGGACGTCTCACGACACTGATCCCAGTTCATTTCCAGCTGAGGAGACCAATTGTTCTCCGTACCCCACATCATGTAATTACCAAAAAGCAGCCACCATGTCGTGTCGTGGGTGACTGCTATTCCAGATCAGCAGCTGTGCTCCCAGTGTGTCTTTTACACTGGTCTGCCCCTGCTGTGGTCGGCCATGATGATTTTTTTTCACCACATTTCTGAATTTGGTTTAAAATCACCTCGGAAAAGTATTTTTGTTCAAACAAATCTCTGATGATGTCATATCCTGCACTTCTAGGCAGAATGGTAATAGTCTGTCACTGCCGCTTCAACACAGCGTACATAATGAGGAGAGGGGAGGGGAGGGTAGGGGGCAGGACAGCTGCAGCATGGACACCAGCCTCTGCACTTATCTCCTCCTCATCATTTTACCTTTGATCTCCCTAAGCTGCCATTTAAAAGAGGAAAACATGCAAAACGACACTTCTTAGCATTTCTACCCAGACTCACACTGCATTAATACAACATACAATGACACGAACTGCACCGCAGTCCATCTTTGAGCTATAGAACTGTGAGAAAAATGAATGCATCAATTATCACTCTTTTTTAATTCTCTCTATATATGCATATAAATAAATAATAATAAATACATGTATATGTCTAGTAGTTGATTAAAAAACTACTATTTTTATATAAAAAATATTTAAAATTTAAATTATGATTAAAAACAATCTTAAACAACTGAATTATTTCATTTCCATTAATATTGAGTTTAAAAAATAATTCCAGAAAAAAAAAAAAGTCTCTGGGGGCGCCAGACATTCGTGATGTCAAAATGATGTCACAGGCCAAAGCATTTAATCAACAAAGACTTTAAACTTCATACTCCTGCACCTGAAACTTGCATTAAAGTCCATGACATTAGGGTGAAAAAAAAATCAAAAGCTTAAAAAAACTATTCTAAAATGAAAAACCTTAAGAGCAAACACTCACACACACATGCATGTGCACACACATGTGCACACACGCGCTCAGATGACTCCCAAGAGGGTCTTCGTCTCAAACAGTCACCAATTATGCAAGCTAATCTGGGCAAATTTCCCCCGGGAGGCAAAGACATAATTGAGGGCAATTGACACAATGATGTTTCCGTGGAGTTTTTTGAGGATCTTGAAGAGAAAACTGGGCTGGATTGGTACGAACTTCACAGTTGGCTTCATTAAAGGGGTCACCGGTGAAAAACAAAAGAACCGTGCACTCATTTTAAGTTGCAGCGCAGCTAATTGAGAGGCAGATGGTTGGCAGGACTGAGTCTACCCTTGAGCAAAAATGTCAAAGTGACACAACATACAGTGACACAGAAGAGCACTCATGCTTTTTTGCATATGGAGCCATGAATGCAATGCCAGGTAAAAAACTCCTTCTTAACTCCCGTGTCTCACCCCAGAGCATCTCCACTCCTTGTGTGATTCCACTGCAGCCGTCTTCTGTCCCCTCCTGCCAGGTCAACTCCGTTCACAGAAGTTCAGCACACACCAACGGAGCGGTGGAGGTACCGTCTCATCTTCCCCGTCCTCCACTTTGACACCCTCACCCTGAGTCGACACGGCCGCCTCCCCCCAGCTCTGTCAGTGACACATCCTGGATGTGATCCAAACTGCTGCAGCCACGGAATGACACGTATGTGCTCCCATTAAAAGCCTCATGCCCCGCACAGCAACCAGAGAGGAAAGGAGCAGAGAGAGGGAGGAGGCTGAGAGTTTGAAGAGCGAGTGAGACTGTATGTGTGTAAAGGAGGCAGCCAAGAACAGGAGAGTGGGGGAGAGAGAGAGAGAGAGAGAGAGAGCGTGTCAGAGAGAGAGAGGGAGAGAGAGAGAGAGAGTGGCTGTTGTATCTACATGAACATCCCATATCTGACTCTTCTCCCTGGACTGTTTCTTAGTCCAGGTTCACACCTGCCTGTTCCCGTGAGGACACTCACGATGTCATTTCCTCCCTGTCTTGACAACAAAACGAATCGTCTATCAGTCTGTTTCCATTCTGCTTACACTCCCACTGCTTATTCCATTACCATCACAGGTTCAAGGGCAAACACACTTCACTTCAGGGTCACAACATAATACTAAAGTCCTTGTTTTTCTACCTCACCGTCAACCTTTGTTACCTTCAACTTAAACATCAACTGATATTTGTAGAGTAAACTAAGAGGTATTTTCGTAATCTGTAATGTTTCTTCATCTTCGTCATGAAAGTCCTTCCTTCAGTTTGAGATTTCAAAAAGTGACCAAACACAAACTTTTGAGTTACTATTATAATAAAAAAAAATGTATCACAGAGAATTTTTAGTAACTACACTTTCAAAAGATGTCTAAAACTGCCATCATTTCCATGTGTACCATCATGAAAGATATACATAAGAGAGTTTTTCCGAGGCTTAAATATATTCATCAACCGATCAATCAAGTGCTTCTGCTTCTGCTGCAGGGAGATGACTCATGTTCCTGCTAACAAGCCCAATATATGCACTGCCATCTAGAACACTTGGAAGATCTCTCTACATGTTGAGACTTCAGTCACGCAGGAAACTACTCACACCTGATTTTAACTTTCTGTATAAACTGGAAATGTAGGTGTGAACAGTCCTACTTTGACTAATGTGGTAAAACTCCTGCACTGTAATCAATCCAGGGGAGTAAATAAGGAAACAGTGACACCCAAGTGACAGCTTTACACAGAAAACAACTCCATATCCCACTTCTCATCTGAATGATGTTGTTTTTTTTTAGTTTTACTAATATTGTATTTAGAAAAAAAGAACATCTGATAATGAGAATTCCTTTTTTTTAAATTTTTTTTTCACCATTTGCATGCTTTACTGTCAGGTGTTCACAGAGAGGTTTATAAGTAAATTCATACAAATTCTTATATTTCGCATCCACAATATAAGAGTATAACTGGAAGTTGAACATGCAGCAGTTCCCACAACAGTCACACATGTAGGAACACAGCACTTCACAGGGCGTGAACAGTAGCTGGAATACTTTTGGCGGCACAGTTGCCAAGTTCTGTCGGTTTGCTATTAGAAAAACCATCAAGAGGAGGCAGAGTTACCACAAGTGACAAAACAGGATGGAAATGTATAACTTTGGATTGTTGTCTTTACCTACAGCATCTTGATGGTGGCGTGTGAGACAGTTGCTTTTCTCAAAAGTGCAAAAAATGAAAAAGGGTGTGTCTGTACAGTACCTGTGCTGACAGCCTTCGCAAGTCTACGCAACCTCCTCTGGTGTGTCTTTCCTCTGCAGTGGATCTGGGCCTGGGCACTGGAGTTAAGATGTATGTTGCACACCTGACACATGGTGGCGCTGCCAGTAGTTTGACGTCTCTCTCGTTTGACTCTGCATCCTGCCACCACCTTCCTTTCCCCCTCATTGACATCTGCCTCCACTGCCTCCTGCACCTCAGGACTTTTGAGTGACGGGGTGCTGTCCACCCACTCTGGGCTCTTCGGCTGTTTCATATCTGGAAACAGACAAAGGTCAAAGGTCAACTTTGAATGTATAGAAATCTGAATTATATACAGCACAGTGGAGTAAAAAAATATGACAATGAGAGAAGTCAGCGGTGAAGTATTGCAGCAGGCCTCAGGTATGTTTGTTTCGGTTGCCTCCACAGGGGGGCAACAGAGCAGCATCAATGTACACAAAAGTGGAACTGCTCTTTTTCAACGTTGCATTTGTAAAAAAAAAAAAAAGCGTAAATTGTCACACAAAAACAAACAGGGCTGAAAAAAAAAACGCTCATCACTTGGACTTGCGTACCCCCGGTTAACGTGTCACACGCACGCTTCAACGTGTCCAAATGCGTGTGTTTAAAATTCTCTGACATCCCATTAAAGTGCTTGAATGAATAATCCATTAGCTGTAAAAGAATGGCCTATCTGCGCGGTGAACACAGCAGTGTGCCGATAAGTATCTGGCTCCAGCATCTCTTTAATTATCAGATAATAAAGCTTGATTCCCAGGGTATACAAAGAGACATGGCTCTTTGTGACTGCGTGCAGCCCTAATACCTGTAATGGCTGAGCAGTTATGGCAGACCGAAGGCATAAATCAAGCCTCACTATTAATGTGCAAATTTACCGAAATCAGGCTGAATTCTTTGCTCCCGTGCTGTTCATATGATAATGGCAACAATTAAGTCCTTATTGTGTTGGGTATCTCATCCTCCACCCTGCTGAATACACCCACCCCTTCAACCTTTACTGCTGCTGCTGCCAAGAAAACCTTTATTTTTTAAAAAAAAATCTCTGCTGTTACAAAAAAATAAAGTAATAATTATCAAGACAATTATTTAAAAAAATAAATAAATACAAGGTAAGTGTTAACTGCTGGCGAGGATGGCGATGGAACAGGGAGGATTTTATTCCGGCAAGGTGTTAATCCTAACTTCGACCACAACACACACACCTTGCAGTTTCCAAAACCCAGGAGCGAGGCATAAATGCAGCCCTGCAAGCAGCTACACAGATCCCAAATGCTGCACAGACTGTGGCAGAGCTGTTACGCTCTAATTTCTTTTCACAATAGAATTTACATATCCATGGGAGACACGGGCGAATGTGCAGAGCAGGCACGAAATAAACCCCGCGCCACAGCCAGTGCATTCATGTAATACTCGCCGGCTTATGTTTTGCCAAAAATAGTTGACGGCCAAATTTTCACACTGTACCTTTCCACAATGACCACACTGTTGTGTAAATAGGAGGCTTTGAACCACTCTCAGTCTTTCAGAGCTGCTGATTATATGTATGTGTTGTGGTCTCACATCGCTTTCTGGCTCACGGAGTGTGGAACAGAAAGAGGAATAAATACAGCCCACATTTGCATAAGGGACGGAAGTACAGCTATCTGTTCCTTTAAAAAGTTACTCAGAGACAAGCATACCCGAAATTAGGTTGGTTGCATGGTCAGAAATCTAAATCTGAAACCCAGCCAGTGTCCTCGAGCCATTCTGACCATACGCCTCAACATCCTCCGGACGTGGAGGACCGATGTTCCTGATTTTAGCCAAATTCTCAACTCTTAAAAAGCTCTTATCTCCAAGGCCGAACGACAAATGTAAATGGGGTTGACCTCACTGAACTTTACCGATGTCCGAGGTTTACTGGAGTACTGCAAGTTTAACACAGTCTGCAAAACGCATTAAAACAAACAGGCATTAATTACCCATCAGCCAACTGTAACAACAGAGTAACTCAACAGACTAATCAGGTAAAGGCTAAACCAGCCTTGTTTACAGCAAAAGTACTCATGAAGAATACACTTTTGGAGGAGTTCATTTCCTGCTTTAATTTCAGTGCAGCATCACATAATAAAAATGACATTCTAAAAAGGGACAATTAATCCTAATAACCAAAACATTATCGGTGCTTCATTTAATTTTAATAGGGGTCAGACTTTGATTGGCTGAAAAAGTTAATGACTGTGCTAAAACCTTGGCTGTGTTTTTTTTGTTAGAGCTGCTGAGAAAAAAGTACTTTATTTTGGTTTAACGTAGCATAATAAATATTCAGAAATGAGGTAGGTTCATTTAATTTTAGATTAAACAATCATTAATTATTTTTTTTCTTGTCCAAATACCCATTACAGCCTACTACAATAATAATAGTAAGACACAGGAAGCCTCATGAATTTTCTTTCTAATAAATTGAGCGGAGAAATTCCCAAATTTCCTCCAAAAATCCCTCCCCAAAAATATTCCTCACTACTCGTGCCAATATTATTTTATTTTTTAGGTTAACTGCTACTTGTCACCCACAGACATACAAGCTTCAGTTTTTTTATGTGCCATTTTTCCTCTCCAGACGATCCTCAAGGCCAACAAACAAATACGCTGCTGCTCTCAGACTGTCTGAGTTAAAGAGCAGTGCTTCAACTCCAGCCAGGCAGCTGCTGGGTAAGTGTTCAGACGTTAGACGTTTTGCCTTTAAACTCTTTCGTTAATGGGCTGCCATCAGAGCAAATTGATGTTGAGGGACAGTTGGAGGAAGGTGTGGGCTGAGACGGATGAACGGGGTCAGACAAAACATCAGGAAGAGAGTCAGATGTTTCATCCTTTTTCCATTTAGTCATCCCACAGTCCTGACCAAAATCACTATCATCACCATCATCCAAACGTATTTTATGCACACGTCTGGATGTTTCCGTGTCATAACACGCACCAACATTAAGCTGTTACTAAAGTTATGTTTTGACTTTAACAAACGTTTCGTATTTCCCCTGAGGAATGGCACCAAGATACAAGTACACAAAATTTTCGTATTTTCACCTGAGGAATGGCACCAAGATACAAGTATAAACTACAGAGGTCTTACTGGTACTTGTGAGGTCACTATGTGTCATTTGGTTCAACGAATGCAGAAAATATTAGAAATATCAGTCAGTCAGTGATTCGAACACTGATCTACACCAACAAAAAATATTGCGTTTGGCGTTGAAGAGAACCAGGAGGGCAACATGGAATTTCTAAAATAGATAGATTTAAAAAAATAATAAAATAGTCAACGCAAAAAAGGCTGTCTTGTTGACAATTATCAACAGATGATTATTAAATAATAACCTTAATGGCGTATTCAGTGAGCATGTTCCTGCCATAGAAATATCTGTGGTAAAACAATGGCAAACACACAGAGCAGACACCGCTCAGACATTAGCTAACACCGTACAGTGAAACGCGCGATCCCACTGGAAACAGCTGATCTGCTCTCCTCACTCATCTGCAGTTGGCAGCTGACAGCCCCATTACTGCACACCCTTAAACAGGTTGCAGACAGCCGGCAGCTGTTGGATTCTGAGGCCGTCGTGAACCACAGCCAGGGCCGCTCTGCTTGTTTGGCACCTGAGAGGGCAGCTGAGAACGGCCCATTCCTACGTCACGCACTAAATGGCCAGAGCGACCGGTGCCTCACGAGTGAAACACAGCACCTGCAGTCTGCAGGTATGAGTCAGAACAGACCGCCTTGGTGAAAGGTTAGAGCAGCTTTTTTGTTCATTGACCAATCTTCACCTCTTTACCCTTTCACCTTCACCTTCCACCCCAAGTTCTGGGTCAGTTTCTTTATTATTATTAGTGCTCACAGACCTCTGTGGGGGCTGGAACCGCTCCCAGCTAAAGTAGGACAAGAGGCAAGGTCCACCCTGGACAGGTCACCGCCTTAATAAAGGTTCTGGTTCACAATTCAGAGAAACGTGATAGGGTCCTCTGTCTGGAAACACTGACTGTTGTGCCGTCCTCCCGTCAGTGAACGCTACTTGATCTTGTCACTGTAGCTTAGCACTCGTCACATCGGTGCACCTCCCTGTCTATGCAGGACAAAGAGTGACCAGATCCAAGCCAGGAATACAGATGGCAAGTCTCAAAGTCTGCCCACCTAATCCGACGCCCAAAAGACTAAGTCAGAAAAAGGGTCACACACTGTTCTGTCCAAAGATGACTGAGAAGAAGTGTCTCAACTCTGATGACCGCTGTTGTCCAACATGAATCCCATCTGCCATAAAAATGTGTTTTACTAACAATTCTGGCATCAGACAATCAATTAGGACAGCAGAGCCAGTAAAACATTATTAGATCTTTCATCTGCCTTTTAGTGGCATATCTACGTTCATGGCTGCACTAACTTTCCCGCGTGCTTCGCATCTTTACTTTATGACCCGTGACAGCTGCAGAGAAATGACCTGTCGACTTCATAACAACTCTTTATCAAAGCACACCAACGAAGCAGCGGTGTAGTGTCCTCAACCTAGTTGGCCTAGTTGACTAAACAACTTCTTTTTGTTTTTTAAGCTATGCCATAAAGACAGAGGAATTCAAGGATCAAACAGTAACACTGACAACAGTGTAGTATGCATTTCTATCTGTTATGAAACTAGAAAGTCAATGCAACATCAGTGAGTACAAACATCGTATTCAAGTATGTCTCTAATAAAAATGTCCCGACATTCTGACCTGGAAATACAGACATTAACAGCTCTCTTGCTGTTCCCTCATTTAAACATGAATTCATAGCGGATGGTGAGAAGCTACAACAGATAGTAGCTGCTGTGGTTTAGTCACGCAGTCAAGTGGGCACTAAGTTGACAGGCAGCTACAAAACTGCCAACATTTCCTGTTTCCCTGGAAGCTGCTGTGCCCATCTGTACGACGTGCTGCCTGCACCTAGTTGCTGTTCTTTCAGAATGGAGGAAAAGTTGTTGATCGCCCCTTGAAATGACTTGGCACATGGAATTCTACACTGTCTAAAAAAAACCCCCATCATATCAAAGAGCATGGACAACAGGAAGAGGAAGTGTTCTCCAGGAACAGAGTAAACGATTCATCTTGCGCCTGGTGAAAGAGTTTAATTTATGACAAGGTTTTGTTCCATTTTTGAATCGGCTCAATTATATGACAAAATTACCCATCAGCATGTGGCTCTTTGTCCTATATTTTCTCAAGAGGACACAGTACACCATGGAACCTCA